CCAAATGTAATTTTAGGTCTGTATAAATGCAACTACTCTTTAACTAGGGGCAAGGAGCTCGATGCTGCTGTTGGGTAGAAAGGCACTGAGCCAGATAAAACAAGGTGGAGGGCTGGGTTCAGCCCGCGGGCCTTGCGTTTGACACCTGTGCTGTAAGCAAATGAGAGGTCCCCCTCTGGGCCAGATGCCTTGGTCGCAGAGGAGGTAGGCACCTAAATATCCTTCCCATCATTGTGATGAAGACTGTGTGTGGGAATGTCCCAAGAACACGTTTACACACGAAATAAACACAGCATGCTGCATAAAGTAATAATAAGCACAATTCCAATACTGGATGCCTCCCTGGGTAGCTATGTCCACTCTTGGGAATTCTCCCTGCAGTGGGAAAGTGGGAATATACTCCTTTCTAGAATGGCTTCGGGCAAGACTAGGGTAGGGTCTCCTGGGTAGACATCAGTATAGCCTCTTTTATTCAGAAGCAAAGTAGACAAAGGTTTCTCCGTCAGTCTAGTTAGGCACTGAAGACCTAGGCACTTCTCCTTCCTATAAAGACTGGAAGACTGTAGGCCTTCCCCAGATCAGAAGGCTGGTTGGTAGCTACAGTATTTTCTGATACTCATTATTGGCATTAGTACATAGATGGGCATAGTAAGGTCACATCGCTGTCACCAGGATGACAAGGCTGGATTTCCTACAGTGCACGGGAGGTAGACTTTTCTATATCAGGGTCTTTCCAGTTGTACCATTCTAAGGTGTTGTAGGAACCCAGGAAAGGGGAGGGGGCTAGGGAGGACCCTCAACTGACTAGCACCCAGCCTTCCCTTTTCCAAGGGGGCATCTACATTGAGTCTACTTAATGATCCCTAATACCATAATCTGCCCCCTAATGGGAAAGAGACCTCCCTTCTCTCTGGGAATGGGATGTGACTTCGGGGCAGACACCTGCATCACACAGGTTCCACTGCAGCTGAGGGGGCAGCTGGCTGTGAAATAAGGCTGCAAAGAGAGCCATAATCTGCACCTGGCTAATGAGGAGCGACCCGGCCTGTGTTCTGTGAGCACAGTGGAGGACAGGCCCATTAGTTACAGACCAGAGGGCACAAGGCCAAGGCAGCGGTGTTTATCTTCTAGCAAGATGTACTGTGTGTTACTTGCATTACCTCTGTATCACCCAGCTCTCTCACAAATCGCTCAGTAAGGCTTTCCTGAAGCTGCAATATACCCCCTTCTCTGAAAAGTCCCCAGACGCAGAGGCTGTACTGAGGACAGTGTGATGCATACAGCAGGCACAAATAATAATAAACAGGAGTTTATGACAGCTTGCTGCTCCAGGGCAAAAATTGTGGCCTACTTGTCTTTATCCAAGTGCCTTGTTTTGGGCTGATGACAGATGCTCAAAAGAAGTTTATTAAATGAATGGGTGCCCTGCTTTATGAATTATCTTTGGAACAGAGTCGCTCCTCCATAATTGCTTAATTGGGAAAGATAATGGTTCCCTCTCCACCACCTCCAAGATGAAGAATGCAGGGAGTCATCACAGAGGTCAAGGAAGGTGGTAAGAGGCGGCTTCACTCTCCAAGGCCAGATGGCAAATGGGGAACCTGGAAAACAGGCTGTTACCCCACAGGGCCAGAGGGGAGACTCTGCACCTGCCCCCTCACAAAAATAGAAGCTGGATGATCCCTAGAGTCCTCCCATTGCCAAGAGCTTCCCAGATCTGAAATCAGAGACCTGTGACAAGCCTTCCAGCAGAAAGGAGGCTCAGACGTGGCTCACACGGTAACCATTTCCTCATGCCTTGTTTAGACGTGGGTCCACACGCACAGCCCTCCCCCAAACCGCCACCCCTCTCACCCCCTTCCAAAAACACCAAATAATATCGAGAGCTGAGGCACTTAGTTCCGCATACATATCTTAAATTAATCTTGAAGCAATGTTTTTCTCTCCTTCCCCACACCTAGCATATTTTCTGTGGCAGCTGGGTCAGGCTTGAGAGGCATTTTTACCACTGGCTCAATATCAAAATAGTCCTGGGCTGCTCTCTTCCCATCATCTTTTCATTCCCTCTGTTTTATTTTCAATATTCTCTCCCCTCCCCTCCCCCTGTATACACCACACACACACACCCACTTTTTAAGGTATGGTCCATGGAACCTAAACTTGGAGTGTTGCATTCTGGGATCATGTACTTGGATAGGGGAGAAATATGCCTTTATTATCACTACCCTCTAACTAACATGTAGCATTCACTTCAATTATGAATGTAAGCAACAAACTACATTACTCTTAGCAATACTTGAGGCTCTGACATCAGTAGAAACACACACATTTTCACACTGCATCAGGGTTGTTGCCCTAAAATATCATTTATGCTCATCACTACTTCAAAATCACAGTAGTTGTGAGACTTCAAGTAGATTTTATTATTTAACATGTTTCTAAAAAGTACATATGTTATTGTTTTTTTAACTTATAAACTGTATTTCAATAATTTTGTTCCCAGACTACATATTTTGTACATTTACAAATATTATCTAAGCTGGGGTCCCTAGGTTTCCACAGCACAGAATGGTTAAGCCACTGCTGTCAGATGGGCATTAGGAGGTGAGATTTCAGATTTTCTCCTGAGTCATCAGAGCCTGGGCCAGGGGACTCAGGGCCAGCAAGCAGTGCTCAGCGGTAGCATAAGGGAGGTCCTAGGAGCAGAGGACAGTGTGGTTATTGGGTAAGAGCTTGGGTGGGCTTTGGAAACGGTCAAAATACTGGCTTTGTGTAATCAGGAGTGTGATCTTAGGCAAACTGCTTCATCACTTTGAGCTTCCATTCCCTCAACTGTACAAGAGGAATAATAATACACTATGTGTTTTGCGTGTGCATGTATTGAGAGGATGCATGTGGGGCAGCAATTACTCCTCGGTTGACTGGCATTTGTCTGACTCTAGAAGGTCAAGCCTTCCCTACCAGGACCTTTTGAGAGCTAAGGGCATGTTGTTTGTTTTGTTTTTGAGAAGGCACTGTCTGTGCCCCGTGCAGTTTTTCCATATCCCTGAGCTTCAGGGATGCTGTGAAGTGCCTCTAAAATACAACTAGGCAGACCTAAGTCTCCGGCCTCTCCTTCTGCCCCTGGATCACCGAAATGGTCACCTAGGTCAGGCTGCAAAGTAGTTCCCTGCCCCCGAGGAGAAGAGACGCCACATAAAAAGGAGATATTTCAGACTTTTCTAACACCAGTCACAGGAGCCAAATTATCTGCTGCTGGCTTTATAGAGCTGCTGGCTCCTGACCTGGTGTCTCATCACTTGGTGAACAGTGACAGGATTCTGTATTCCAAGTGGCCCTTCCCAGAGCAGGCCAGGGTCAGACCCAGGCTGCCAGGTCACTGTGCAAAGAGCCCCCAGGAAGGTCAGGGAAAACCCTGCAACTCCTAAGGTTATGCAAGAAACCCCTTTACAATTCCCTTACAAAGTCTGGCTTAAGTGATGGTCAAAGTCCTGTTGTAGAAAGGACTATACATTCTTTTAAAATGGCATATATGGATTTTCTTCTGATTATAATGATAAAAAATTGGAAAATACATAAAATTTATACAGGAAAATTAAAATTAACTATAAACTTGGCACCTAGAAATCAAAACTATTAACATTGTGGTGAATTTTCTTCCAGCTATACCTATGCTGGCAGTCTCACATAAATTAGGATCAGCATTATATAGAGTTTTATATCCTGACCTCATCACTTAAAAATATCTAGAGACATTTTCAAGATGAGCTCTGAAAAGACAGAAAACCATTATATTAGACACTGTCTATAAAATTCATAGTTTCCTGAGAGATGTAGAGTAGTACTGTGCATTTGCATAGAAGTTATTTCCAGAAAACAGTTAGAAAGGCATTTCATTCCCCCTAAAGCATGTATAGTAGTAAACTCTCTTTAGCTTGAAAAGAACCTAGAGAAGATATATTTGTGTCCTCAGCAAAGAGGCACTACATGATATATTTTCTATCCACTTTCTTGTATCTCCCCTGATAAGGGAAAGCTATGAAAATTCACTGCTGGAAAAAGGAGGCCGTGCTAAAGTGCTAAGCCCCCAAGGAAAACCTTCAAAAAGAGGTAGGATGCTAAGAAGAGTCCTGTACTTCCAACTGGAAAGAACTGGATTCACACATCAAGTCTGCCATTGGAGACCCAAGATCAAGGAGTTCTCAATTTCCCTGGACTTCAGCAGAGACACCGCCATGCACCTCAAAGGATGGAAAAGCCATGCAGATTAAATTAGGCTCTGCAGATAAGTACACTGCATGGCAATAATCACAAAATCTTGGTACTGTGGCTGGTAACAGTATTGTTATTTTTGTTGCTCAGCCAGCTTGAGTCATTCACTACATGTCCTGAGAGAGGCAGTGTCCAGCAGTGGGGAAAAGCATGGACCCTGGAGCCATCCTGCACTTCCCTGTTAAGCCAAGTTATTTAGCCTCTCAGTTTCTTCATCTGTAAAATGAGATAATGATAATACACCTACCTTATAGGACTAGAGAGGATCAAATGAGTTAATTTACACTCAATGCTTAGAACAGTACTGGGTGCGTAATAAACACTACATAAAGAGAGCTTTAAGGGGAGGGATGATGGTGGAGGAGTGAATGAAAGTCACACTGACCTCCTCCCAGGGCCAATCTGGAATTATAACTCAACTGTGGAGAAACCACCCAGAACAAACAATTGAGCAATAGCCAGAGATAAGCCATATAATTTTGGAAAGACAGAAGAACCAGCTCTGGAAAGAGGCTTTTAAGAAGTCAGTGATCAATGGCCAGATATAAGATTATAATAAATGTATACCAGCTAACACCAGTGAGCATTTAAAAAGAAATAAACAAACAGACAAAAATACTTTCCTCAAAAGTATTGTTATTAATCAGAAAACTGGACTAGCAGTTTCACTAAAAAGCCGTGCTCCCTCCCTGAAACCCCAGCTCCAGGTAAGCATGCTCCCCTCCTACCTTCTCGGCATCCTGCTCAAAAAGCCGCAACTGGAAACACTGATCCAGCTTGAGTTTGCGCACATGCCACATCTGGTGCAGGTGCTGCCGGGTGGAGTGCAGCTTGTCCAACAGGCTGGTGATCTTGGGCACCAGGCTCTGGAAGTCAGCGCTGCCAGGGATGCAATTGCGCCCTGAGAAGCCATCACTGCAGCGAATGCACTGCAGTAGCCGCTGCCCCTCCCGGTCCAGCTCCTCCACGGGGGCCTTCAGCACCTTCTTCTTGAGCTGTGTGTGCTCATCGATGAGCCGCCGAGAGCCCTCCACATCCACAGGAAACTCCTTCCTGGCCAGCATCTCCTGCAGGTCCTCCAGGCGTGAGAGCAGGTGCACAGCACTGTTGAAGAACTCCTCCAAGGAGAGCCGCAGCTCGATCCATTCCTCGTGGTTGTAGTCCAGGGAGCCATCAAACTCCTCAGTCAGCTGGGAGGGGTCCACCAGCTTTGTGAGGCCTTCCACAGATACCATGCTCGTCTGGAGGGCAGACACAGAGAAGGAGACTCAGTGAAGTAGGGGGAGGAAGGGGAAGACCAGGACAGCAGTAGTCAGAAGGAAAGTCAAGGGGAAAAGCTAAGATAAGTCCACATAATAATGCTCACAGCCTGCCTTGGGGAGCATGTGGCCCACTGGGCATTAGCCACAGATCAGCCAGGAAAGCAGTTTCAATAGACTGGCTGACTGGATCAAAAAGCCTCTCCACCTGCCCATTTACCATTCCAGGAAAGGCTGCCTTTAAGTCTCTGCTGCCTTCATCTTCCTCCTCTCTACTCCCTGGTCCACTGCAGTAGGGCTTCAGATGCTAGAAGCAGGAGAAGCTGGAAGTAAAACAGACCCAGGGCCTCAAGGTCTAGTTATCCATAGCTTAGAAACCCATGCAGGCCCATGACCCAGGACATCATCACGACTGCATTAAGCTACGTGGGCCAATACTTGTGCTGCGAGGATCTGAGTCTATTCCTGCCTCAGGCTGGGCAGGCCTCTGCCCCATTCCAAGGCTCTCCCTGGTAGCAGATACCCTTCTCTGATTTAGTTGGCTTGGATTGGAGCTTGGGCGTGGGTAGTTTTAAAAGCTCCCCAGGTGATTCTAATGTGCAACCCGTGTTACAAACCTCTTCTAGTCTGGATCCTTGCTACTCAAAGTGTGGCCTTAGGCAGCAGCATTTAGACTGCCTGGGAGCTTGTTAGAACGGCAGCGTCTCAGAACTTTCCCAAATCTGCTGAATTAGAACCTACATTTAACAAGATTCCCCAGGAGACTCTGCCCATTAAACTTGGAGCAGCCCTGTTCTAGAGCACTTTCCCCTTCAAACCTGGCTCCCAATTTACCACATCCTGGAAGTCCCTTGTGATTATATTCACCAGTTATTCATTAACTGTCTGTACTCTCAGTCTGCATGTGGTATTTCATTGGCTGTTTGTAAGGCACTGCTTTATAAATACGCTTCTGAGTGGGAGGCCCCAGTTCTCTCTTCCGTCCTTCTTTCTCGTTTGGAGGCAGAGACAAGCTCGCTCAACTTGGCGTGAAGGGAGATGGAAAGGGTTAGGCACCCACACTGAAGCAAATCTTCAGGACTTGTTAGAAAGATTACTTTGGGTCTTTTCAGGTTATAAATATGTAGGCTTGTTATCACTGCCTCTGTATAAACAAACCACAACTACAAAAATGCAGGGCTGCTAATGCTGGGTGAGTAGCAGTGTAGGGAGAGTAGAAGAACTGTTTTTATACCAAGTCAAACTTTTCCTGTTATTTAAACAGAGTGGGAACTGCTTGGCTTGGGTGGTCGGGTTGCTGTGCTCAGTGGCAGTCACAGACTCTTGGGGCCGCCACACCATGCAGAGGGGCTCCTGGGCCTGGGGGAGGCTCTGCAGTGGAAAGTCGCTGCAAGGTTAAGAGCAGCTGTGCCTTCCAACAGGCACATGGACACAAGGCCCATCCCCTTGGCGATGAGGGCCAACGTTCTGAGGAAGGGCAAAGCTCGAATTTGACCAGGACGAAGTTTCCTAAATCACTGGTTTCATCTGATACATTATCATTAAAAATTCTCAAAGGACACATTGCTGTCTGGGATAATTAGCTTAAAAAAAATAACATGTTCTCCCTGAGTATAAAAGAATATAAAAAATACGAAGAAAATAAAAACCACCTATAATCTAGCTACTCCTAATAATCTACTGACATTTTCAGTCTCTCAGTCTTCTTCATATATGCACTTAAAAAAACAAATTTTAGATGATATGCCCATACTATTTTATAACTAGCCATTTTAAAACAATATTTCATGAGCATTTTTCAGACACTATTTTCTAAATATGATTTTATTGAGCTATAATTAACATATAACTAAATATGATTTTTAATGGCTTCATAGTATTTGTGTATTAGTCACTAACATTAATGGATAGTCAGAATACAAACTATACCTACTCTATCTGTGTGTCCGTGTATATGTGTATATGTGGAGATGTATATATATGTACATATATCATTGCAAATAACACTATTATGAATGGACATCATCATTCATAAAGGTGTATAGACCTTTATTTGTTTATGATGATAATTACATTTTTTAAAGGTTTTGTTTCATTTTTATATTAACTTTTTTTTCCAATAAGCATGACTAGGTCAATGGTTATAAACTCTTTTTAAGGCATTTCACCCAAACTACAAAGCTGCCCCCAGAAACAACTGTCCCAATTTACACATTCACAGAACTGCCTACTGACACTGCATTTAGGACAATCTCTTGATCCTCTTATTCCTCCCTAAAGGCCACTGGTAAGGCCACAGTAGCCAAGGAATCCTGAAGTAGCAGCCACCACCATGCGCATAGTAGGGTACATGGAGAAGCACAAGTGAGAAATGTGTGGGTGGTGGGAAGAAAAGGGGGTGCTGAGAGAGCAGCCTGGCTCACCTCAAAGATGAACTTGGAGCTGCCAAAGTTGGTCTTCTGCTTCTGCCAGAAGTTGTCGGGTTTAATGATGAGGGCCACATGGATCTCAGCCGGAAAAGCTTCCTGCAGTGTCTTGAGGAGGGGTTTGATGAGGTCCCACTTGGAGCCCCGCATGTCGATGATGACGGTGAAGCCACGTTTGCACACGTCCTCACTGTGGGGAGGTCAGAGGCCAGGCATGGTCACTCTGGGCAGCTGAGACTTTGAAGTACACAGTCAAAAAGCATCAGGAAATCTGCATTCCTTTTAATCGGACCACCCTTCCAACTTCACACCAGGTCTCCTGGCTGTCTTCCAATCCAACTCTAAAATGCACTGCTTCAGAAAACCCTCCCAGATTAACTCCATCTATCTGAGGGCATTCTGCCTTCTTCTGGCATTTAGCAAAAACTCAGCCTTCCCTGTATTCATTTGCACTTGTTGGGATGTTTACTATTTGGGTATTCACAATTATGTTTGATTTTACATTTAGTTTTTGTCTCACTGCTGGGAGGAATCCTGTTTTACCCATTTGAAAACAAGCTCTCTAAAGACAGGGACCCCATCACCCTCAAATCTGAGATGGAAAGTCCTCAGCACAAGTGCTGCCCCTCCCCAGGCCCACATCAGTGGCAGTCACTGGTGCACTTTACCACTCACTGGGCTGAAAAACCTTTTTCAATAAAAGGCTCTAGACTGACCTACCAATTGCTAAGAGATGATACAGAAAGTATTAATAATATACATTTGCTACTACTGCATTTAAGATGTATTACTTATAGTTTCAAATGTTTATCAACTTATAAGAAGTCAGGCAGTGAAGTCACCTAGACAGCCAAAGGTGGGGCTAACCAGGAGGGCGGATACAGAGTCAGGGTCCAGAAAAGGCACACTGCAGGAAGTTAAGATGGGAAGCTACTCCCAAAATCAAGGCCAGACGAAGTGACAGAGACCATCTTGAAAGCCAAAAAATTAGCAGGCTAAGTTAATCAGGATGTTGCTGTGTAACTTACTACATAGCAAAGTTCCTTCCAACACTTGGACTTTAACAGTAACTCGTAAGATTCAAAAGAAAAAAACTGAAGGTCAGAACAGTTAGAACTTCTCAGTTTGGAAGAAAGTTTGTTTTGGTAGTTAGGGGGTCTTCTCTTCTTGGCTTATTTAACCTATCCATTTATTTTATCACTCAAAATATACTTTGGTTAATTCACATTTTTATATAAACACTGGTGTAGTATTTCCTTAGGATCTTTCACTAATGTCCTGTTCCCCAGACGGTATTTGCTCAAACCACTGGCCCTGCTCACGGCCCACTGATGGGCACCACCATGTAACAATCGTGGACATCATTGGAGGTGAGGCCACAGTTGGAAGGATTAAGCCAAAAATGGAAATAAAACCTCTTCCTTGGCTTCCTTCTCAGATCTCAACAGTGACGAGAACGTCACAGCCTGGTGAGGAGACGACAGTTCTGCAACTGCATGAATGTCTCAAGCATAAGGCGGCTGGGGCAGGACTCCCAGTCAGACGGGGAAACTGCCCAGGCAGAAAACTCTCTCCATTTCTTCGTGTTGATAAAAAGGGCTCAATTCGCGTGGGAAGAAGGCTGAGTCTTTCTTTCTCCAAATCTGAGTCAACAAGTGGCCACCGTCATCCATACATAATTGTGTCTGACCTATCGTGTCAAAGCAATGTGTCATTTTATTAAATTATGGAATTTCACATTATAAAAGAAACACCTGCTATTTATAGAAAAGTTCAAAGACCTACGTAAGAGATGCTAATGGGAGCACCTCTTTTTTTATAATACTCTGTCCTATTTCCTTTCCGTATTTTTGTGCATGTAATTTTATACCATACAGTGTTCAGCTTCTCATTGTAACAAGGTTTTTCTCATGTTTCAAATTTCTTCAAAACTGTTATATTTAATGACACATAGTCCACCTGTCTTATGCCTACACCATAAATTATTCAATTGTTCTCACTACTGCTTTGCAGAAGAACGTATCAACTTGTTGTATCCTCATCAGCACTGAACTCTGGCCCATTTTGTAGGAAAAATGCTGCACTGCGCTTAGATTTGTATTTCTCTGATTATTAGCTGTAGTTCACTGGCCCAGGAGTGTTTCTTCTGTCCCTTACACCTAAGCAGTTCTTTCATCCACTTTCTACTGGGATTTAATGGCTTTTCTCTGTGAGTTTAGTTTTTTCAGCTTGACGCACACTTGTTGCAGGCCCACTTAGGTCAGGCCCTGCAAGGCTGCGGTCAGTTTCACCTTTCCTTTGATATGTGTACCTGCCCCTCAGGCTCTGTACCTGTTACCATGACTGTGCATGACACGAGAACTCTCCATCTCTAGCAGCAAATAGTCAGTGTTGCCACCTACAGCTGGAGTTGGACTATCCCAGCATCTAAATGTGGTGGGCAGTAGACAATGAAAGCAGAAATCAGATACTAATATTCTCTAGTAAGTCCTCACTAACTCAGGAGATGGGGAAAGCAGCCCGGGGGCTGAGAGCTAATCTAAACATTTTTCCGTGAACCAGCGTAATGTATCACGGTGCTTTGTGTGTTTGGTTTCAAAGAAGCAGCATAGCTGGGGAAGAAAGGGAACTTCTTACCACATGCTTATTCTATGCCAGGGACTGTGGCTGAGCACTTGATAGATGGTATTTTTTTATCCTTCCAATACCTTATAAACTTGGTATGGTAATCTCCATGTAAGAGGTGATGAAATCGAAGCACAGAATTTGCCGAAGGTCACATAACTAGCAGGTGGCTAGGCAAATAGTCAAAACCAGGACTGTTCATGCTAAAGCCCACACTCAGGTCACCATATGATATTACATCCCACCACTACTGCCACTGTGAGTGGTATTTTGGGCATTGGAGGTGGGTATTAAGAGCCAGCAGTAAGGGGATTATGTCAGGGAACTCATAGGACATGAGGGAAATCATGGCAAGGAGTCCAAGCGAATGGCCTCTATTGTGCAGTCTATAAGATTACAGAATCACAAAGGCAAAGGAACATGGCATATTGAGAAAGTTCAAGTAATTCACTTTGGTTTGGACACGTGCATAAGGAAGAGACTGACGACAGAGTGATACCCCGAGAGCTTTAGACAGTCCTATTCCAGGCTCCAACCCTCTTCTTGCCTACCCCCCTCTCCCACCCCTCCCTGGGACTTGCCCAGATGGAGTCTGTGCTGTTCCTCGACCTCTCTCACAGACCAAGCTGCTAGTGCCTGAACTCTGCAAATTCTCTGTCCAAAGGGCCCTTAGCCTACTCCTGGGCCCCATGCGTCCCTGTTTCCCAGGTCTAGTCCTCTAAGGCAAGTGACACTACCAGTATGAGCACCGGCATGGCAAAGGACCACTAGTTGCAAGGGTGTGGCTAGAACACAGTATGTGAGCTGGGAAGTCCACAGGCATGAGCACCCCCCCCCCCCCGCCACTGGGGTGGAAGACAGAGCTGGGCAGCAGCGGGCAGAGAAGGGAGGCAGAGCATGGCCTGGGCCCTGGGCAATCTGTGCTGCCAAGTTCTGGCACAGAACTCAGAGGAGTCCAACAAGTCCAAATATGAAGTTGGCCCCCTCTGTCACAATGAAGATACATTTGTCAAGGTAGAAGGGACAGAATGTGTTTAACAATTTGATAGCTTGGTATATTAATTTTCAATATTTAGACATAGGGAGGGGGGTCTTCATCTGTACTGTTGCCCCAGACATCAGAGAAGAGCCAGGAATGGACGCAGGTCTCAGACCAGGATGGTGGGACTCCTGGGTTCACCCTGAGAACAACGAGAACTGCTGGAGAGTGTCATTCAAGCCACCATGAGGTGGCTTGGACAGACTACCCCTGGCCGTGCAGAGGGAGAACACGCTGGGGCCAGCCAGAGGGAGTGGCCACAGCCACCTCCTTTGCATCTTTGTTGAAACACCTCCTAAGTGGAGCTGCAGCGTCACACAGCACTTCCCACTTCCCCTCCCTGATTCATTTCTTTCTTAGCATTTATTACCATCTGGATCATGCATTTTACTTATTCATTTATTGTCCACCTTCCCTCACTAGAAAATAAACTCAAAGCAGCAGGGATTTTTGTGTTCATTTACTGAAGAATTCCCAGTGGCTAACACAGTGTCTTGTGTAAGCTAAAATTCAACAACACACTGAGGAATTCAAGGTAGCTGTTAAGGGTACGGAACCTAGAACTACGCTTCCTTGGTCTAAACCATAGCTCCATCATTTAGTTATTGGGAAACCTTAACCAAGTCACTTTTAAACTCCATGCTTCAGTTCCTGCACTATAAAAGATGAATAATAGTAACTACATTACAGAGTTGTTTTAAAGGTTAAGTTTGTTAATGAAGCACCTATGTGGATGCCAGGCACATCATCTGGACCGTCTTAGCTGCTGTGGGAGACACTGGTGATGTCCCGCCCAGGGCTCCTTCACTGACCACTGTGCCCAGCCCCCAGCTCCAACAGAGTTTCGGCCGTCAGCTTACACCCATGACCATCTCTGGAGACTTGCCTTTGGCTGATGGGCTCCATTTCTCCAAGAGGAACGTGGAGGTTATGCCCACGCCCAGGGAGGGCGGTGCCTCTCTGATATAAGGTGCCGGAGCCCAGACTCTTTACCTTAATGCAGAGTAACGCCGAAGTGTGATTTAGGCTCCAGGGCCTCCTCATTCTCCCCGTCAGTCTCTGACTAGACTGAGACCACATCCTTGCACGGTCCTTCCCTTTTCCTACCCTGTTTCTCCAACTCCCTGCTCCTTTACAAGTTCTTCCTAAAGAGAATGCCCTTACTAAGTCATTTGCACCTGAAGCCCTGATTCAACATTCATAGCCAAAGAGAGTTATTTTCATTACTGTATTACAAATAATGTAAACATAAATAATATTTCATACATATATGAAGTTGTGAAGGTAATTTGATGTACCATTGGAGATTTAAAGAGAAATCTGGGTTGCAAATCTTGACCTGGGAGTCACACTGTGCCTGGTACCTAGTAGGTATTCAGTAATATTTTCAGAATGAATAAACCCCATGAACCGTGGTAGTAGATATACACAGAAGAGAGATCACCCAATGAAAACGAGTAAGATGATGAGGAGCATCTTCTGAGTCAAGAAAGAACACTGATGGAAAATCAATGTTTAAGAGATGG